AAGAAAATTTTTAGATAAAAATCATGGGGATATTTTTTCATAATAAGTAACAGAACAATTTTGTAAAACACGAAAGAAAAACAAGAACAATGTACACTGAAGTGACAAAAGTCATGGGATAGCAATATGCAAATTTTCAGATGGCAGTAGCATCGCGTAGAACAGGTATAAATGCGCAGTGCTTTCGCAGAGCTTTCATTTCTGTTCAAGTTATTCATGTGAAGAGGTTTTGACGTGATGATGACCGCACGACGGGAATTAACAGACTTTGAACGCGGAATGTTAGTTGGAGCTAGACGCATGGGTCATGCCATTTCGGAAATCGTTAGGGAATTCAACATTTCCAGATCCACTGTGTCAAGAGTGTGCCGAGAGTATGACATTTCAGGCATAACATCCCACCATGGACAGCGCAGTGGTCGACCGCCTGCACTTAACGGCCGAGACCGGCGACGTCTGCAAAGAGTCGTAAATTCTAACAGACAAGCAACACTGCGTCAAATAACCGCAGAAATCAATGTGGGACGTACAAGGGACTTGTCTGTTAGAACTGTGCGGAGAAATTTGGCTTTCTTGGGCTATTCCAGCAGAAGACCGACTCGAGTGCCTTTACTGACAGAACGACATCGCTTGCAGCGACTCTCGTGGGCACGTGAGCATATCGGTTGGTCCCTAGATGAATGGAAAACAGTGGCCAGGTCCGACGAGTCACGATTTCAGTTGGTAAGAGCTGATGGTAGGGTTCGAGTGTGGCGCAGACCCCACGAAGCCATGGACCCAAACTGTCAGCAAGGCACTGTTCAAGCTGGTGGTGGCTCGGTAATGGTGTGGGCTGTTTTTCATGGCATGGACTTGGTCCTCTGGTGCGACTGGACCGAACATTGACTGGAAGTGCTTATGTTCAGCTACTTGGAGATCACTTGCAGCCATTCATGGACTTCATGCACCCAAACAACGATGGGATTTTTATGGATGACAATGCGCCATGTCACCGGGCCACAACTGTTCGCGATTGGTTTGAAGAACATTCTGGACAATTCCAACGAATGATCTGGCCACCTAGATCGCCCGACATGAATCCCATCGAGCATTTATGGGACATCATCGAGATGTCTGTTCGTGCCCAAAATCCTGCACCATCAACGCCTTCACAATTATGGACGTCTATCGAGACAGCATGGCTCAATATTCCTGCAGAAGACTTCCAACGACTTGTTGAGTCCATGCCACGTCGAGTTGCTGCACTTCGCCGGGCGGAAGGAGGGCCGACACGATATTAAGAGGTATCCCATGACTTTTGTCACTTCAGTGTAATAAAGATGTTATTTTGCAATGTCGTTTTAGTACTAAAACTACCCGAGCTCTTGAATGAATTTCAAAAAAGGCACGAATGGAAAAACTGTAACAGTCATTCTCTCTAATACAGTATCCACTCAAGGAAATCCTGCTGTTACTATCATACTACTATTCAGTCAGGAAAACTATTTCAGTCCATTAGGATGTAATACACTAATTAGAAAAAAAAATTGAGCTCGCATTTTATATAGTGGAAAGAAATCCAGTTCGTTCAAAACAATTTTGAAAATCCGATATGAACAACTTTCGAAATTCATTCATGTATTCAAGCATTTTCAATTAAACAATAGGATACTGATAATTTATTCAAAAGCTTCAGAGAATACCACGAATGGGGTATGCTATTTCTAAAGCCACCTGGTGCTATTTCTAAAGCCACCCACCACGACAATAATATATACCAATTTAGAAATTCTTACGGAAATATCACATTTAATTTTCATTTCAAAGAATTTTCCACCAGGAAGTAGGAGAAAATAACTTGTACACGGTCAGAGCAAATGCATAGAATAATGACAATCTAAAATTAAAATGCAAGTGAAAACTGTAAAACTCTTGTGAAGAACTCGGCTATAAATTACACAATGACACCCTCTGTAATATATGCAGTGGATTCAGTGACAGCACATTCAGACCTGTATCTCTATTGTTTGGAATGGAATTGCATTCTTTTCAAAAATGATTTAACAAAGGCCGAAAAAACAGAGGTTCTCACCCAAGTATAAAAATACTTGGAGTGAGAGAAGTGAATAGTTAGATTAATTTGTTTATTTGTTTTACTACTAAAATTAATTTAACATGCTAAATAATAACATAATTATACATGTCTTCTGCAATTAATAAAGCCAGACTCAAGACACAATGGTAACGTGCGCAGATAGTGTGCAGAAGGGCCGAAGCTCGAAATCCGCTGGCTGCACTGTTGTAGTCACTGCTTTCAAAAACGAAGAGACCCGGTGACGATTGGGACAATATATGTACAGCCAGACTCAAGACACAATGGTAACGTGCGCAGATAGTGTGCAGAAGGGCCGAAGCTCGAAATCCGCTGGCTGCACTGTTGTAGTCACTGCTTTCAGAAACGAAGAGACCCGATGACGATTGGGACAGTATATGTAAAGCCTCTCGCATGGACAGTCAAGTTGTCTAGAACGAGTTTTCATGGGATTTTCTGTGGCCTGATGGCCCTTTGACTAGCGCTGTGGCCTTTGGTACGAGGCTCCAGGTTCAAATCCTATCGGTGGCATGGATGTCTATTAGTGGTCCGGAGTCCACTTTAAACTGTAGGTCCCTGTCTGTTTAATACTCGTGTACATAAGATGATAGTAGAGAGGCAAACCAAACCAATCCTTCCCAACTCGCCTCGTACGAGTTAGAAAAGGGAAGGTGGAACATCGGTGGGTTCGTGCATACCACGAACAGCTCACTGACGGGTGATGGGGAAAGAGCAGTGCCTACTGAGAGGATTTTTAAAGGTAACGTTTTAAAAAGGTAAGGATTTTTAAAGGTAACGTTTTAAAAAGGTAAGGATTTTTAAAGGTAACGTTTTAAAAAGGTAAGGAACGTTTTTAAAAGGTAGGATTTTTAAAGGTAACGTTTTAAAAAGGTAAGGATTTTTAAAGGTAAGGTTTTAATGTAGTATGGGATAAAATCAGGAAAAATACCCTCTAAGAAGCCTGACTATCGATGCGAGACGAATTTGCATGTATTGTCACAATCACCATCGAGTCTCATCATTTATGAAAGTAGTGACGACAACAATGCCGCCAGCGGGATTCGAACTTCGGCCCCTTCTGTGTCCGCATATCATCTGGGTCTCGAGTCGGACGAAATGGACAGCTTGCTTTAAAGAATTGCTTTTGCATTTATTATCAGAATGATGTCTCTAAAATATCGATGAACTTTGTTTTCATGTAGAATTTATAGTTGGCAAATAAAAAAAATAAATATTATTTTAAACTGTACATTGTTTTCATAACAATACGACACGTATTACAACTCTGTACAATTACAACATCACTTTAATACTTAAAATAAATTAAACAGAGTTTCTATCGGTAATAAGTTCTTAATTTTGATTGGTTTGGTTTGTCGCTCTACGGTCATTTTTTGCACACTTTGAGTTAATTAGACCGGGACCTACAGTTTAACGTGGACACCGAACCACTCACAAACATCCATGACACCACCTGGATTCGAACCTACAGGTGATATCAAAGGCCAGAGCTCCCCATTTGGTCATGAGGCCGCTTCTTAATTTTGAAGTTAGTAATAAACATATTTTGTGTTTTATCAAAATTATTCACCTCGATATTTTTTTATATATAATTAACTATATTTGATTTCTATGTGTAATAAATGCAACATCTGCGCACCTGCCCTCCGGATTCGTGCTCCACAAGAAAATCCGCTTCACCTTAAATGTTACGTAACAATTAAGTTACGTGTCATATCTTCATAATTATATTCGTGCAATACGAAAACTATATTTATTTTATCTTTTTGACATGTCATTCCATTTTTTTTTTAAACGACGGATGTAAAAGTTTTTTTTAACTTCTTCCTCTTTGCGTTCAAGAATTGTAACACGAGGCTTTCCTCTGCATTGAAACATATCAGTGAAAGAGTCAAACGGAATAAATAAATTTTAAAAATGAATTCCGCCGGCGCCAAACAATTAGCATATCCTGATCTGTTTCCTCGAGATTTGATACAACAATTGCGAGAAAAGTAATGATAAGCATTTTTTTTTTTTAAATAAAACAATGTTCAAGGTTTTATTTAAATTTTTTATACTTTTTTATTTATTAACATTTTAAGAGTGAAAATATCTGGGGTTTCTTTATGCTTTTATATTTTTATTTTTAATAATTTCGAAGGATGGTATTTAATTTATTATTAAATATAATTTATTTTGATTTGATTTATTATTTTATATAATTTTGATTTATTATTAAAGATGTTCAGTCAACAGTTTTGAATCTCTATTTCTGCTGTCTATTTTGATAGTTTGGTATGTCGCTCTACGGTCGTTTTGTGCACACTTTGGGCTAATCAGACTGGGACCTCCAGTTTAAAGTGGATTCCGAACCACTCACAAACATCCATGCCACCACCAGTATTTGAACCTGAAGCCTGGGATACCAAAGGCCAGATAGCTAGCCAATGTATGTTTGTAGCGATTCAGAATCCACTTTAAACCGTAGGTCCGTGTCTAGTATGACTACAACACCACACCAAATCACCCCATGCCTCTTCCATTCATTCTCATCAAAGAGATAAAAATATAGCAATAAAGAAAGAAATGGCGTGTACATGTATTTTGTAATCCTTAAAATTAGAATATGAGAACGGTGAAGAGAAGTAAATCATTTGTAGTCTAATGAATTAATTAATCTAAATTTGAGAATGCACAACAGATTTTTCAGAAATACCACACTCTGTGTGATTGTAAAGTGTATAACAACATTTGCTATAGATAAATTTTCACATATTTTCTAAGTTAGTTCCTTCTAAAAATTTACTAGAGACAGAAAAAAAAAAAAGGAAATGGAATTTATTCAATATATGAAGTGCTCATCAGCTGCTGGTTTGCTTTGAATTGTCGCTGTAATTTTATGCACACTTTAGGTTAATTAGACCTGGGCCTGATGGCCGAGTTCGGTACCACAGGTATCGGGTTTAAATCCCGGCTTTGCCCATGGGTGTTGTAGTGGTTCGAATCCACTTTAAACCGTAGGTCCCGGTCCTAAAAGGACAGTAGAGCATTGCGGGGGCATTGTTACTCCGCGTCCGTGGCTTACCATAAAGTTACACGCGCCTCCTGGGTAATGCGAAGTGAGTAAAATCTGTGCAGCGCTTGCCTTAAGGCATCCCAGACCAAGCTGTCTACGTGTTTGCCAGCTGCATTAGAAAAAAAAAAAAGGTTAATTAGACCAGGATCTACTGTTCAACGGGGATTCCGAACCACTCACAAACACCCATGCCACCGCCAGATTCGATCCTGAAGCCAGTGGTACCAAAGGCCAGAGAGCTCGCCAATTGGCCATCATGCCTCGAAACGGATTGGATAATAATGCGCTGGATATTGAAAATTATTACAAACGATGAAAATTTTTCCATTGACCGCCTGAAGGAATTAGTAGAACACCGTGTGCAATAATATGACGATATTAGCATTTCTGCAGAAGAACATCCAACGGATTTTCTAGAAAAGAAGTTTAGCCACTATAACTGAAATTATGGATAAGTTGACATAAAAATTTGAAATTTCGATAGAAATTCAAAACCAAGTGTCATTGATGCGATGTCTTGTCGTTGACAAATACTTGCCGAACGAAATAGTAAACGGCATGCAATGTTAGATAACATCTTCACACACTCACAGGAAAAGAAAAAATGTTAAAATAAGAATGTTAATAAGTTAAAATGTTAATAATACTATATAATTTATGTTAAAATTAATTTGCTGTCTCATCACATACATAATTTCTTTACTGCCTTTTTTTTATTATTTTAATTAATGTTTTATGCATAGAAATCCATTTTAGCGATAAATAAGTCTATAATTAATGCAAAAAAATGTATAGCAATAAATGTTACAAATAAAAAAAAAAAACATGATAAATTTTCTAATTTTCTGTTCTGTTTCACTTTCTTCTATTATTTATGAGTTAAGATAACCTCGTTTAACGCTGTTTCGTTTAGCACACATTTCCATACCAAATACGATACAAAATATAGCAAGAAGCAAGTCATTCAGAAAATCAGCAAAAAAAAATATATATAATAATTAGAAGACAGTTTTATCAAAGAATACCTATACTAAGGACATCGTAAGCTATGTTATTTCTACTCGCTATATGTTTGGATTCTTTTCAAAACAAACCTAGCGTCGAATTCCGTTATAACTTTGATTGCCAAGCTAAAAATCTGTATATTATCAGTGTATATTATCCTTTTAAATAAAAATCAAACTAACGAAATATACCAAAAACAGAAAAATATGATGGTATTAAAATGTTAATCAAACAAATCAAGATTTAAGTAAAATAAAAATGGCGTGTACACAATCTTTCAAATCGAATCAAGTTGGGAAAAACAAGTAATATAAAAAAAAAATGAAGTCAATTCCTAGTTACGTCAACAGAGAAAAATTTTATTTTAGTTACTTTTTATTTATTCTTAAATTTATATCCTGCTAAATATCATATATAAGATACATTTTTTTCACCCCTATAAAACTAAAATTAATCAATTAAATTTAGTTACTGAATTAATATTTGAAAAACTGTATTCACATCCAATGTCATCCATTACAAGTTCAAAAAAATTTATTTGTATTCGAGTGGATGAATAAAAAGTATTTTTGTTAACGACTGAAAATTTGAACAAGATATATATATATATATATATATATATATAGGAGAGTGGGAGCTAATAGTAGGAATTGAAAACACGACTTACTTTCAGTGGTCAGCGAGGTTTGTTTCACGAGACACAAATGGACGCCTTTCGACCAGCTGTGAAATGTAGTGTCAGCGAAACGAAGCGAAAGCGTGCGCAGTTGATAGTTCCGCACTGTAGTATATAACGTCCGCGACTGCTGGTTCAAGGCAATGGGTCATTTCTATATTAAAAAAAAAAAAAAAAAAAAAGGTGCTTCAAAAGTAGGCGGGTGGTTTTACCTTGAAGAATGATCAAATGGCAAAAGGGTTTCACGGCTAAGCACTTCAGAAATGTTTAGTTTTCGACCGAGTTCCTACGTTTTTCCCCCATGAGTTGCAACTTGGTAGAAATTTTTAATTGCACCTTCTGATATGAGAAAAAAAAGGAGATTTATTTAACTGCATCGCTTGTTTACGACAATGACTTCATTCTAAAAATTCCGATTTGCAGTTTATTTCACAACGTGGATCGCGGTTTTTATTTGCAGGAAATAATATCACTAAAATAGACTGAATTAACCATTGTTTTGTGTTCAAATTTTTCTTCTTTCCTTCTATTTTAGACTTAGTGATTTAAGTTGCACTCTTTTCTTGGTATTTTCAGCGGTGTATTGAAAGTACTGCAACTCTCGCGTAGCAATTTTAAATATTCTTTTGCTTTTAGAAATACTACTGAGTCCAAAAAGTAAGACCCATTTTTCAATTTAAATTTCCCGGGCATAGGACATTTCAATTTTTTTCTTTTTAGGTTGTTGGCACTGTCCTTGACATTTTTCTACTCATTAGTGCTTGAGTTACGTTTGGTTTTGTGAGATGCTAAAATTGATTCCGGCGTTTTTTGAAATGTCTCTTCAATTGACTCAAAACGGTGTCGCAGGAGTAGTCTTTTGAGTTTAGGGAATAGCCAGAAATAGCACGATGCTAAATAAGGTTAATACGGTGGTTGTGGAACGATATAGATTTCATTTTTGGCGAAAAGTCACGAAGAATGAATGCAGTGTGAGCTGGCGCATTCAGTGTTTTCGGTACCAACTGAGATTTGACGCGTTTGTGGCTCAAAATGGATTTGACCGCTCCTTTAGAAATTGCAACATCATCAGCAAGGTCTCTAATTGTAAATCGATGGTTTTCAAACACCAAATCTGTAATTTTTTGGACGTGAGCTTCGTCGGTTGAGGTGGAGGGTCGACCAGAGCGCTCTTCGTCTTCTACGCGTTCTCTGCCTTCTTTTAACTGTTTTTACCACTTCTAAACTATTTCTTTCCGATATAGGAATGCTCACCTAATGCCTTCTGCAACATTCTATAAGTTTCTGCAAACGAAATTTCACGCAAGTTCTTGCTCAATTAATTTAGAGATTTCAAAAATCGCCGGAATCAGTTTTAGCATCTCACAAAACCAAGCTTAACTCAAACACTAATGAATATTTTGACGTGAAATTTCACACAGATGTCAAGGACAGTGCCAACAACCTAAAAGGAAAAAAAAATTTAAATACCATATGCCTGGGAGATTTAAATTGTAAACTGGTTTTACTTTTTGGACACAGTAGTATGTCAAGAGTTTTTTTTTAAAAATTATTTTAAAAAGTAAAACGCAAGATAGTAGAAACAAGGAAAATTCTATTGCGTAGTCAGTGTTCCGTTTCCATAAATCTTCGTAAATTTAAATAGGTGCTTACAGTTGACCCGATGTGTCTACTGGGGTGACAAATATGCATCAGATTAGTGTTATGAGACCGCACGCAATGGACTCATAGCTTTATTCTGGATGTGTGCTGGTAGGCTCGTGTGCCGGAAGTGGCCTCTGAATCACGCGCTTCTACTCACCAACTTGAATCTAACGAAAGACTTTCTGTCTTACATATTTAAGATAAAAGAGGTTCGCTTGTTGAGTTTCGAACAAAAACTCCTTCAATTCGGAAACTCAACGCATTATTTACTCTATTGCTCCAAGTATAGATGTGCCAAAGTAAAATCGCGAACACTTAAGAATTTCAGTTTTGTAGAGTATCACTTTTCAAATATCTCGGAACTATCTTAAGTAACGGCAATAGTATCGATAGAGAAGTATGTGAAACGGGACAAGCCGGAAACGTAGTGACTGCTTTAACAATAAGCGAAGTCATTGTTGAGAGATTTTTCTTAAGCTTATAAAAAGCTATTTTAGGTGGACAATACAAGATCTTATAAGTAAGACAAAATAGTATATAATATCACCCAATGAATCTAAAAAAAGACCAAGAGGGAAGAATTTTGAAGGAGTATTTTATTTCAAATATCTGGGAACTATATTAAGTAACGACCACAGTATCCATAGAGAAGTGTGTGAAAGGGGTACAAGCCGGTAATCGAGCATTTTACGCAAATAAAAATTTGTATAGTAGATTTATTTGACGAAAAACAAAACTTTTGATTTATAGGACTCTAATAAGGCCGATTGTCAAGTATGCTGGAGAAGCGTGAACATTGAACATTAAGAGCTTGAACTACATCAGGGCCTTTGAGAGGAAAATAAATTAAGAAAAAATTTTTGGACAAAGAGTTGACAATACTATGTGGATGAAAAGACCCAACGAAGAAATTGAACACCTGATTAAAAATAGAGACATCCAATCACAAAGAATCCGCTGGCTCTGACATGTACATCGCCGAGATGACACAATCCTTTCATTGAAGTTTCCCTCATGTAAATTGTTCAACACTAGGAAGAGGGGAGACCGAGGGAAAGATGGACTAATAGTGTCGAAAAGGATCTTGGACAACTGAATGCTATTAACTGGAAGAGATTGGCACTGGAGCGAGGCAGATGGAGAGCCGTTGTGTTGGATTCTCAAGTCTGTACAAGGCTGTAATGCCAGTAAAGATGAAGAGTTTAATCACTTCTGGTAGTTATGATCTGCGAAACTTATTTATGTATGCGATAAATTCTAAATTTTTTTATCCAATTTTAATATTACAATTTATAGAAACTCAATTTACTAAGATATATTTTGGGCAAATATTAACATTTTTAGTATTCAGCGATGAGAAGTATTCTTTGTCCGATATTAAAGTTTAAAAAACTATTGACCATAACTCAAGATTAAATTTTTTTGAACGTTTCACATAATCGCATTAGTGAACTTAAAATATTCACTAATGAATCGCACTAGTGAACTTAAAATATTCAATAATGAATCGCACTAGTGAACTTAAAATATTCAATAATGCGTTAGCTTAATATGCAGCCGTTCGCACTCAGACTTGTTAAAGAGACTGATTTTCACTTTACGTTTGACACTCTCATA